CTTCTGAGTTTAACCGCTCTTATAATACCATTCTTACAAATTTAAATTGTGTTTGTCAGAAATAAAATATGTCAAATGAAATGTCATTGCGTAGATCTCGAAAAGTTATGTGGAATCAAAAAAATAATTACCTGATTTGGATACCCGAGTCAAAAGTTATGGCCTTCAAAAATATGACACGTGTCAACACCTGATGAGTGACGTCTAAATTAGGCGTGATTGCCTCTTGAGTGACGCCCAATTTAGGCGTCTTTAGTGACGCCCAAATTGGACGTCATATTGTGTAATAAATGTGTAATTATTTTCAAAACTGTAATAAATGCGTAATTAATTTATTAAAAAGCATTAACTTAAATTTTTTGCCCGGGACAAAACAGATAACCCGACCCTTTCGGCCATTAATCTATCATAATATGGGTTAATCTGCGTGCCATGTATTTAAAAGCGAGTTAAATTTTTTAATTCATCTTATTTTATGGCAGGTTAGTAAATCAATCGATTTATAATTAAAAATAAAATAAAATAAAGCTAAAGAAGCTTATTGATTGAGATATTTTATTTAAATTATCTAATTAAACTTAAAAAAATCCAACTATTCGTGTAAACCTATCTCGACTCCCACCCAAAACACTCTAAAGTCTAAACCACTTTTAAACAAAGCAATTTATGATGAGTTGATGAATTAAAATATGAAAAAAAACACTTTTCTTGTTATAAAAGAAAAAAACAATTATGCGATATATTAAAAACAATATTGTTTATTATTTTTTATTTTTTAAAAAAAAATAGTAGAATTCATTATATTTTTGTGTTTGTGAGAAATTTTCATATTCTCCTATTGCATGAGAGCTCCAAAATTCTTAAAATATATAACCTATCTCGCCAAATTAAATGAATTAAACAAATTAACCCAAAGGATAAAACTCATTTTGACACCTGTAAGCAAGAGTTATTATTAGTGCAAACCCAACTTGATTAGGATCGGGTGCCTCATCAATCTGCCGTGTCACCGTCCGTCACGTTCACACTAACGGCGTTAAGTGCTTAGCTGGACGCCACTGTTACACTTTGGGCTCCCCCTGAATGGGCCACCTGGCACACTCTCTTCCTGCACATGGCCAGCTACTTCTGTCGAACACTGCACCTATGAAAACCCAATATTACCCCTACACCCCTAATGCTACTCTTTACATCATTGTCAAAACTAAAGGGTATTATGGTCATGACATTAGGTGTCTACAATAAAATCTCTGACTCAGCTGCTTCTTGTTTGCGTAAGAAAGTGAAAAATTTGTAGAGCTCAGGAATCTAAGATGAACACAACAGCGATGAAACTGAGGAAATGAAATATATAATTAATTGAACATAGAATGGACACATAAAATGATTTTCTTCTTTTTATTTTTATTTTTATTTGTTTACGTATTTATAAATCATAGTGGAGGAAAAAATATTTAGGCTAGGAGTAATTTAGACGTAGGTGGGATTAGAGTGTGGTCCCATGTGGTGGTCACACCTCTCAAATAAGATGCACGTTAAAGGGTGTGTGATATATTGAATTTTTATGGTGATGGAGTTTTGAAGGGTTAGTGATGGTGAAGGTGCATGGTGCAGCCTCAATGTGTTTTTTTTTTTTTTTTTTTTTTTTGGCTAAAGAAGAGTATTGAAAGTTTACCAAATGGTGGTAGCTTAGTTGGCGCATGAGAGCTGAGCAGGTGAAGATGAGAGCATGTGTTCGAACCTTTCCAATACCATCTTTGGAAAGAGTTTAAAACCTTAATTCTAGACCCGCCCCAAATCAAACTAGTCACAAAGGGATGAATCGATGGAATATTTCCAAAAAAGAAAAAAAAAAAGACTATTGAAAGTGAGATTGGTGTTGTAAGGTGGATGCTCCAGCTAATGCTAGGGTGGATTTTGATGCTGGTGTGGGGGCCCACATTCACTTCCTGTTTGCCACGTGGTGTAGGACTTGTTTGTTTGGGAATGCATGGGATTAGGATGGGGATTGAAGAATGAAGAGTGTACGCTTCTCATTGCTATTGTGGGCAGGGTATTAATTGGTGTGAGAACTCTCTAAATTTTTAACATGTTCTAGTACAAAATTCTTATTTAATTCTTTGATCAACTATTTATGAATGAAATACGAATAGGGAGCATGCGCGTTAAATCACAGACCATCTCCATATTTAAAGCACATTTTCCATATTCGCATTTCACTTTATATTATATTAATAAATAATTTGTCAAAAAATTAAATTAATAATATATTTATGTTTTTACATCATAAGGGTAAAAAGAAAAATCCTTTTTAACATCAAATACTGAGCCAAACAGGGCTTGCTTTTTCATGATAATATAGTCAAAGATAATTTTGCATTCTAATTTGGGTTCTTTATTTATTTATTTAGCATTTGTTTTGGATTTTGAGGGCCTTAATTACACTTTAATTGCCTTTGATTAGTAGTAGTCATTGCTATTGTTTTGTCAATTAATTTCTTTGTGACCGCGTGACTCTCCTTTCCAGCTGCATTAACCTTTTGTTTTCAAAGTATCGTAATGGTGTTCAATTTGTACCATTTTCGATACCTTATTGTGAAAATTGAAGCAAGTCTTTCTTTTCCTTTTCCCATGACATTCAAGTGTGGGTTCGAAACTTATTAGGCTCTTAAAATCCAATTAAAAATGTTTGTGCTTTTTGTGATTCACGAGGAATTAGAAGAAGCAGGGAATCTTCATTATGAATTGCAAGAGTTATGAAATTAATGTGTGTCTTTTTAAGGTGATATACCATTAATGAGTTTTAATTGTGGGGTGGCACGAGCATTTCATAGAAATTGTACCAAGTTATGTGAGGAAAAAAAATTAAAATATTACAATTTTAATAAATAATTATGAATACATAGTTGTTTTGAAACTATTTACGGATTTATTGCACTCATTTACGTCCAAATTAGGGTGACTCCCAAGGCATTCACGCTTAAATTAGGCGTGACTCGTCTGGTGTTGACACATAGCACAAAAATTAATAGTTTAACCGTAAAATTTTATAAGCCATAACTTTTGACTCTGGTATCCGAATGAGGTAATTCTTTTTTTGATTCTACATAATTTTTTGAGATCTGCGCAATGACATCTCATTTGATATATTTTATCTCTCACAAACACAATTCAAATTTGCAACAATGATACTATAAAGATGGCACCAAAGTGGATTAACTCATCTATAAATAAGATGGCACCAAATTTTGCCTCTACCAAGTGTTTGAAAAATAATAGTGTACAAGGTTATTTATTTAATTATTAAAATATATACAAATTTATATAATATTCTATCAAGTGTTTATAATATTTATTTAATTATTTTCTTTATTAATACAGATTTTTCAAATTGATTTTTGAGTTTAAATCACAAATTAAATTTTTATTTTGTTTTTCTTATTAATAATAATTTTTTAATTTTTTTTGGTAATACACTATATAATACAATAATTGTAAATTTGAATTGTGTTTGTGAGAGATAAAATATATCAAATGAGATGTCATTGCGTAGATCTCGAAAAGTTAGGTGGAATTAAAAAAAAAATTAACTCATTCGGATATCCGAGTCAAAAGTTATGACTTTCCAAAGTTTTACGGTTCGTAAGTTGACTTTTTTTGCCACGTGTCAACACTAGATGATTCACGCCTAAATTAGACGTGAATGCCTTGGGAGTCACGCCTAATTTGAGCGTGAATAATCACGCCTAATTTGAGTGTGAATGAGTGCAACAAATTTGTAGATAAGTTCAAAACAGCTATATATTTATAATTATTTATTAAAATAATAATATTTTAATTTTTTTTGGCAGTTATGTAAACCCAATTTATACTCTCTTTTTTGTTAAAAGAAAGAGGTAAAAAAGGTAGAAGTTATCTACTTTGTTAGAGTATTTAAGAGGGAGGACAAGTGGCAAGTGACTGGGAGAAACGACAGAGAATGTAAACACTAGGGAGTGATTCTCACACCTCTCCAAAGAGAGTAGGTCATATTTGGTTCAAAGAAAAAGAAAAAACAAATAAACCTATTTATGGAGTTAGAATAAACGAATGTTAATACAATTTAACCGGCTCGTGGGATCAACACAAAAATCAATAAATCGATTATATAACTGGTTTGAATGAAGTAATGGATCGGCATGCATCGGAATTGACGTGAACCAGTGCGATTCGGCCGATTTTTTAAAAAATCGGTGACTCGATCAGTTAACCAATGATATTTGTCTCAAAAAAAGATTCCAATTTTAAAAAAAAATTATAATGAATATATTTGAATATTTTTTGCTTATTGACTCTCATATGTTATGTACCTACATACTAATATTATCTCAATTATTGCATTATACATGAATTTTGATTTGATTTATAACTAAAAATGTTGTTTACTAAATCTGAAGTCCGTATCACGATCATTATATTTTTGTATGATTTGTTATTGGATAATAATGTGTAATTTATTATTTTTATATTAAAATATTTAAAAATTTTATCATTATTTAAGATAAATTATAAAATTACATATAATCATCGAATCGTTCGGTTCAATCAATGATATCCAATATCTTAATCGAATAATGATCACGCTGATTTTAATAATAATAAAATAAGACATAGGATATTGTGACACACAAATAATGTTACGCACAATGTTACGACCACATCATCTTAACTGTTGATTTCCGCCAATCAACGGTTATCATTTATTGCGAATTAATAATTAATTAATGAGTTTGATTTGAAAAATGATAACCGTTGATTGGCGAAAATTAACGGTTAAGATGTGATCGTAACATTGTGCGTAACATTATTTATGTGTCACAATATCCTATCCCATGAAATAAATAAGAATAAAAGAAAATTGAAACAAAAAAATTTGAGATAAAAAGAGAAAGAAAAGAGAAGAGAGAGAAAAACGTAAAAACCAGTCTCGTGAAGCAGCAGGTGAAGAAGAAGGAAAAGAAAATAAAAGCTTGTTCTTTTTCACTCTATTCTTCTTCTTCTTCCTCTCTCTCTCTTGCTCTTTCTCTCTCTAGTGTAAGCACACTGTAATAGTACAAATACTCCATTCACTCTCTCTTATATTAAAAAAAGAGCTTTATTTTTCTCTCTCTCTCTCTAAGAATACCAACAACACTCACATTCATTCTTTGCTTCCTTCTTTTAAATCACGAGATCCCCATCTCTCTCTTTCTTTCTTTCTTTCTTCCTTCTTCTTCATGTCTTCTTCTACAGAGCTTCCAAACTCATGCTTCTCTACTTGTTTTAGCTTCATTCACAGACATTGCTAACACAGAGAGAGTGTGTGTGTGTGAGAGAGAGAGAGAGAGAGAGGGAAAAGGGGGAGACTGAGCAACGCCGAAAGATTGGATTTTTGAGCGACCCTTTTTGTTTGTTTCCCGAGAAAATGTCGCATTCGTCGGGAAAACCCGTTTCCGATGTGGTCGGGTTCGACGCCATCGCCGATCGGTTCCGCGACACTTTGAACTGCGAGGTCAACAAGCCGGACTACCGAGAACTCGATCTGGGTTCGCCCGTTTCGCCATTGCGGACCCGAGGACCCGCTGCCAGTAGCAGTTCAAGTTCTTCTGGATCCTTCTCTGGCCGAAACGGGCACAACCCGGTTCCCAAAAGATCCGATTCGGCACCCAACAACAACAACAATAACTCCGGCGAGCTCTCCGGCTCCAGCGAGAACAGCCCCACCGCCGCGTCGGAGAGCCAGAGATCCGCGGGGAATGCGCGGGGACTCAAGCCGGGTCATGCGAGATCCGATTCCGGATCCGCTTTACCACCGTTAATCTATTCGGGTCAGACCGTGAACTCGCCGCCGCTGAATGTTCTCCCCACCGGAAACATATGCCCCTCCGGCAGGATCCTGAAGACGGGCATGGCGGCGAATCGGGGCTCCAGAACCGATGTTCTGGGCTCCGGCATGGGGAACTATGGCCATGGGAGCATAATGCGGGGCGCCGCCGCAGCCGCCAAGGTGGAGACGGCGGGTGCGCCGGTTTCAAAGTGCAGCATTGGCAATGAGTCTGGGAGGAGAGGAGTTCAGAATGTGGATCCAGAAGAGTTGAAGAGGGTAGGGAATGAGCATTACAAAAAGGGTCACTTTGCAGATGCATTGAGTCTTTATGATAAGGCAATTGCGATGTCGCCGGCTAGTGCCGCCTACCGGAGCAACCGTGCCGCGGCGTTGACGGGTTTGGGACGGCTGGGGGAGGCGGTGAGGGAATGTGAGGAGGCTGTGAGGTTGGATCCTAATTATCTTAGGGCTCATCAGCGTTTGGCTTCTCTTTTCCTTAGGTGAGTTTTAGCATGGATTATTGGATTCTTAATCCTTTTTTAGGTATGTGTTGATTTGGTTTGAAGTGTGAGCTTGGTGCATTGGTGAAGTAGTTCTTGTCTAGTCCATTTGTTTACTATTGTTGAATTGTTTTGTTTGATTTATATCTTATGTTGTTTCTTTGTTGTTTTAGTTTAGGATTTGGAGTTTTGTTTTTATGTTGTTTCTATAGGATTTTAAAGTTGTTGCTTGTTAGTTTGGATGGCATTGCAAAGATCCCTAATGTGCAAGTTTATTTGGATTTGCCTTCATGATCAATCCCATTCTGATTTGAGAAGTGGTAATGTCACAGATTAGGACAAGTTGAGAATGCAAGGAAGCACCTTTGTTTTCCTGGGCAGCAGTCGGATCCGTCTGAGATGCAGAAGTTGCAAATGGTGGAAAAGCATATCAGCAAATGTGCTGATGTTCGGAGGATAAGGGATTGGAAAAGTGTTCTGAGGGAAGTTGATGCTGCTATTGCTACTGGAGCGGACTCTTCTCCTCAGGTATTGTTGTGATTATCAATTGTTTTGTTATATCTTAGTTGAATATGTTATATGGGAGGTGCGTGTAAAATGTCTGAACTTATTGGAAATTGAATTTACAGCTCTTTATGTGTAGAGCAGAAGCACTTTTGAAGCTCCACCAAATCGATGATGCAGAATCAATTTTGTTACACGTTCCCAAATCAGAACCACATACTAATTCCTCTTCTCAAGCAAGATTCTTTGGGATGCTTTCTGAAGCTTATTCCTACTTTGTTAGAGCTCAGATTGAGATGACATTGGGAAGGTGAGTTCAGAAAATATTAAACTTCATCAGAATCCTAAGATGGAAAAGGTTTGTGTTGGAGAGTAAAATTGGATGATGGATGTATTGCAGGTTTGAGAATGCAGTTACAGCTGCTGAGAAAGGCAGTCAGATTGATCCCCGAAATGTTGAAGTTGCTGTTTTGCTCAACAATGTAAGGATGGTGGCAAGAGCTCGAGTGCGTGGCAATGATCTTTTTAAATCTGAAAGGTTCACTGAAGCTTGCTCAGCATATGGGGAGGGTTTGAGACTTGACCCTTCAAATTCTGTTCTATATTGCAATAGAGCAGCGTGTTGGTTTAAGCTTGGTCAATGGGAAAGATCTATTGAAGACTCCAACCAAGCTTTAAATATCCAACCAAATTACATGAAAGCCCTTCTTCGAAGGGCTGCATCAAACAGCAAGGTAAATTGACTTCATATTCTTTATGATACTGTATTTTTGTCATAAAGGTTCGTGATGTCATAATCTCTTGCTGTAACTGCAGCTAGAAAGGTGGGAAGAAGCGGTCAAAGATTATGAGGTCTTGCGGAGAGAACTTCCAAATGACAATGAAGTTGCTGAAGCTCTTTTTCATGCTCAAGTTGCACTAAAGAAATCACGTGGGGAAGAAGTATATAATTTAAAATTTGGCGGTGAAGTGGAAGAAGTATCAGGTCTTGAGCAGTTTAGAGCTGCAATATCTTTACCAGGTAATTAAAAGGGTTAGAGTCTTCTGCAACTCGTTTTACTCAGCTACTATTTTTCAAGTCTCCTGATACCATCTCTGAATTTGGCAGGTGTTTCTGTTGTCCATTTTGAAATTGCATCCAACTCCCAATGCAAGCAAATATCTCCATTTGTCGATACACTATGTGGTCGATATCCATCTATTAACTTCCTCAAGGTAACTTAACTTCACGCATGTTTTTGACTTTACTACCTGTTATTTAATGTAGTTTAGATATAAAAGTGAGCAATATGGTAGTTTCCTAATGCATGCAATTTTTGTCTTTGATCATAGGTGGATATTCAAGAAAGCCCAACAGTTGCAACTGCTGAGAATGTTAGGATTGTTCCAACCTTCAAGATATACAAAAATGGCAGTCGAGTGAAGGAAATTGTATGCCCTAGTCGTGACATGTTGGAACACTCTGTGAGGCATTACAGCTTTTAGAACTCATGACTTGTAATGCTTTCTTCCCTGTTGTCCTCTGCCACTTCCTTCTTCTCCTTGCTGCCACAAACCTCCAGTTAAAAAACTCTCAAGTCTCTACAGTTCTTCCAGTCTTTTGATCCCACTATAAAATGATATCACTTGATTCATGTGACATAGTCAAAGCCCATTGGAACCTAGAGATAGTCTAGTTCCTTGTGGGAGTTTTTATTTATTCATTCATTCCCCATTGCTCTTTAGTTCCATGTTCCCTCCCAACTCTCCCTATGTCAATTTTCTTTCTCTCTACTCCTTTTTTCAGTTCACTAGGTTAGTTGTTCTTGTATCCCAAATTTCATTAAGGTTAAAAGGAACAAAAAAAGAAAATTGTTATTAATGTCTGTACAATTGATTTAATTATGAGTTTAAATTACCTTTTAAGATAGACAGGTATAGACAGATATAGACAGAAGGGAGGGGAGGGATCACTACATGTATATATGTGATGATATATACGAGACACTGGAAGCCTTTGAGGGGAGATAGAATGAATGGGGGTGCACCTACTGAGTTAGCCAAAGGAGGATGAATATGTTATTATTGTTCTTTTTACCTATCTTAGTCATTTAATCAATAAAAGTTCCCATTTTTTTTCCTGCTGTGTCCCTTTTTTATTTCTTCCTAATACCTCATTGCTTTCTATGTTCTCATTTAAGACTGAGACATGTAACTGATTAGTGTTGTGACACCCAATTGTCATTTATGCATTGAGCAGAGGTTGGAAAAAGCTGACTTGGTCTTGAGATTGAAATCAATTGGTTATGGCATTTAAGTTTGATGGGTTTTGTTAGGTTGTGTTTGACATCTAAAGGCAAGGTACATGTGTTTTTAAATGAAGGTTGGTTATGTTGTGTGAGTGGCCTCGGGTGGTTGATACAATTCATTACTCTTTTTTTTTTATCTTTTAGCACTGGCGGTGGACCACTAAATTATAATTAACAAATAGAGCAATCTTGTTTATTTAGCTAAGTTTTATGCTTGAAAAGAACAATTAATAAAACTAATGTGTGGGAGAGGGTGAGTGCCCTTTGTGGATGGTGGTTTATATATGTTGACGTGGGCATTTAAGAAATTTATCTCTTTCAAATTGGGGCACTTTCACCTACCCTAAAAAGAGTCCAAAAGGTTGTGATGGTCGGTGTTTTATGTGCCACTGTGTTGTAATGCGCCACGGTAACTCACCCTAATTGGTGGTGGGCCTTAGCTGAATATATGCCTTTCTTGGTGGACCTCTAGAAGGCCATGACTATGTGTAGGTCTTATGGAACCAATGATCAGAGTTAACTAGTTTCTTTTAGATACCAACTAGTGTTAGAAATTCTTTCTTAATGGCTCCAATTAATTTGGTTTTGGTCTTAATGGCTCCAATTAATTTGGTTTTGGATTTGAGCCTTATGATATATTTTAGGAGTTGTGACTATTGGGAATCGAATATATTACTCTCTTCTTCTTCATTTTTGTAGTATTTCTTTCATTTTTAGGACTAATCTGATTGGGGGTTGAGAGCAGTTAAAGACTTTCTCTCTTATTGAATCACTTGGCTAATACCTTGTTGGTTAAATATATATTACTTTTTGGACAAATCAAAGTCAACAATTCTTGGGTGAGTTAAATTAGTTTTAAAGGTCGGTGCATTTTACCTGCCTTAGCTCCAATTTCAAAGTTGAATGTGTGTAAGGGTAGGAATAGGACTAGGACTTACCTATTGCCATAGTTGAATAAAAATGGAAGGTTAGTCCAATGAGAGAAATTGAGGCAACTTTAGGTGAAAGGGTATGTAAAGGTGAACCCAAAAAAAGAGTGAGATTTTTCCCAAAAGAGGGACTTTACCATTTAGTAATTTGGATTGGAGATTTGAGGTTGAGAAGTGTTTGCAATGTTGTGGACTCTTGTTTATCTCAAGAGATGAAGAGCACTGTGTCGGTGTGTACAAGTACAACTGTTAAAACCACCGGCATTCACTACGGGCCTTCATGTGCGCTGTAAAGGCAAAATTATAAAAGGACAGCGAACGAGAAAAGGACTTGCCTATGCCTAATGTGTTGTGCTTAACACACAAAAGATAAAAAATAAAAAATAATGGATTAATGTTTATATTGTAAGAGATAATTTTATTTTTTATACATATCTAAAAAAGTATGGTCCCTATATACAGAGGCGGATCCAGGTACATGAGAAGGGGGGTAAGTGCTCACCCTTAAAATATGATATAAAAATACAAAAAATACCCTTCTCTTAAAATTCAAATTTTTCTAATTTAATTTTAGGATAGTATATTGTAATAACCAATAAGGGTTACTACCAATCAATTTCACCGTTAGATCGATTATGTTGATCCAATGGTTATATTTATTTTCATCTTTGTATGGTTATGATTCTCCATATTTAATACTTTATATTTATTTTCACCTTTATATGGTTATAATTTCTCATATTTAATGCTTTTATATTAAATATGGGGATCAGAACCATACAAAGATAGAAATAAATATAATCGTTGGATCAACATAATCGATCTAACAGTAAAATTGTTACCCTAGTTGGTTGTTACGATATCTTACCCCTTTAATTTCCCCCATTCTATTTTATTTTTCCGTGAGTTTTTTTCTCCTCCACCTTCATTATCCAAACCTAACAGCAGAGAGCTCTATTCTAGACCCATCGTTTGCATCTACATATTGATTCATCTCCTCTCAAACCTTAATCTCCGTTATTGAAAGTTGGAACATTTGTTTCTTCCTCCATCATCAGTCCAGTTGAGTCGCAATCCGTTCAGATCTAAATCTAAACCAGACTCAGCCAGCCGCAACTGCTCGCAAGTCGCGTTCAAGACCAGACCCAGATCTATATGTACTTGAACTTATTGAGTGTCCACGTTTCATTAATTTTTAAGATCCGCCACTGCCTATATAGGACCATGTGAAAAAAAATGAAAAAAAATGATTCTTACATATTTTTACCTTTATATATATATATATATATATATATATATATATATGTATGTAACAGATAAAATTATTATAATATAAGAACTATTAATCCCAATAAATAATGGGAAAAATATTTTTGCTTATCTGTCATATTGAAGTCTATTTTTGTTTAGAATTCAAAAGTTATACCATGTAATATGTGGTAGAGAAAAGTAAAACCCATAAATAAATAATATAGAAATTAAGGAAAAAAGGGATTTGTGGAGGCTACTGTATTAAACGTACGGTGTACGACAACATAATGAAGGGCGTTGTGAAGCTGAAACAAGAAATGAAGCCGTTGTTGTGGCTGAAATGATAATGAAGACTTTTAAGAGGGAAGTGAATGGGGATGTCCCTGTCGTTTAGTACCAGTTTTGAACAAGGGACATGATGTTTTGAATTTTCTTGGTTGGTTTCTTATTTCTTTATCCTAATGATGGCTCGGCATGCATTATTGCATGGATGGTTGGTATCGTCCAAGTTTGTGTATACCACTGATGATGTTAGTTTGTCGTAGCTGCTTGGACTTTTGCCTCCAAAATTTCGTCTTGTCACAAACCCTTTGTTACAAGACACAAGTCCATTATATCTTATGTACTTAAAGTGAATCCCCCACCTTCTCTTCTCTTCTCTTCTCTTACCCATTTTCCTTTTTTAGTCCCTCAATAAAATTGCATTTTCACTGTTTTTTTCTCACCTCATCCCTTATTTGCTATTCAGGAAGAAGCTAGTGGAGTACTGAATCACTTCATAATTGAGGATCAATAATAGCTTTGAACAATTAACTTACTTTTTTTTCTGGGTGTTTTGAACAATCAACTTTAACTTAACATTTAAATGCTTTTATCCTATAGCCTGAACAGGTTGATCTTTGCCCACAATTTTACCTTCTATTTCTTCACTGAAAATATTTTAAGTTCTATCATAAAACTTTGGTACATTATTTATTAAAATGAAAGAAAAAATAAATTCACGTCACAGTATTTATTTTACCTTCTCTTTATAGCATGACTCTCACTTTTTCAAAAAAATAAAATAAAATTAAGTAGCAAAATACCTACCATAGGATCATCGAAAATAATGGACCACAACAATTGCAGGCTATTGAAGCCTTTATAATGTCAGATGCTATTACTAATATACCGTATGTTTAGGGAGTATTCATTTATGCAATCAGAATAAAATAAAACACAAGTTCTTTTTCGTTTTTTTATTCGACCGGTTCTAATAAAAATCAAAATATATCACTATTTCAACTTCATGTTCTATTCTATTTCAATTATAATATACATAAAAAATAAAACAAAACTACATTTCTTGTTGTAATTTGGTTTAATACATCCACGCACAAACGCTATTTAGGGGATGTTTGATAGGAGAATTATTTTTAGGAAAAACTTCAAAAAATCCCCTACAAGTTTTGTCACAATCACTTAATCCCCTCCCCGAAATTTTTAATCATTTACCCCCCTACTCAAATTTTTTTTATCACTTACCCCCCTAATTTGATTTTCCATCCAAAATTTTGTTAAATTTTTTAAAGGTATCAAAATTACCCTTAATAGAAAAAAGAAAAACATAATTTCCTCACAAACTACTTTGTAACTAGTTTAATATGTCTTTTTAATTTTAGGGATGGTTGCTTAATTTTAAGCTTGCAAACAATTGCTTAATTTTAAGTTTTATATCAAATCATTTGTTGTTATTATTATAACAAGGAGGTATTCTCACTTAGTCCCCTTAAATCACCTTGCGGTTCGAGAATTAGCTATGATAAAACATAAAGTTTTTAAAAGGTACCAATTGTTTGCAAGCTTAAAATTAAGCAATCATCCCTTAAATTAAAAAGACATATTAAACTAGTTATGAAGTAGTTTGTGAAGAAATTATGTTTTTCTTTTTTCTATTAAGGGTAATTTTGGTACCTTTTAAAAAATTTAACATGATTTTGGATGGAAAACCAAATTAGGGGGGTAAGTGATAAAAAAATTTGAGTAGGGAGATAAATGATTAAAAATTTCGGGGAGAAGGTTAAGTGATTTTGAGAAAACTTGTAGAGAAATTTTTGAAATGTTTCCTTATTTTTAAATGCATGGAAAAGTAAAGATGAATTTTCTAGAATCCTATATTTGGTAACACATTGGCTAAAATTTTCCAGAAAAAGTTATTTTCCCAGAATTCCGTTTTGTGTGTATTTTTTTAACCAAAACATCACCCAAAAATATCATCCAAAAAATAATATTTCAAGAATCTCCGACGATAAAAAAAATATAAATTAATTTTTCAGACAAAAATAACCAAACATAATATTAGAAAAATTAAACCAACATTTCCAAAAATATTTTAGCCTACCAAATCATTTTTTAATAACATTCTCGAAAAATTCATTTTTCCATTATATTTGCAGAAATCGTAATACCCAAAAAAAAAAAAAAAAAAAAATTCTCTTTTACCAAACACACTTTAAAGTCAGTTACATGTTGACGGCACCCAATTAGTAGCAAACCTCATACCGCGCTTACTAAACACCCAAACGATTTTATTTTATTTTAAAAAAAAAAAAAAACTGATGTCACAATCGATCAATAAATGTAACTCACAAGCAACTTGATTGACAGCCAGAGGATTCAGTGGACCTAATTTTGTTTATCGATTCGACATAAAATAAATCCTACCAATGAGTTTTCTCACATCATGATGTGAGAAAAGACATAAAAGACCCTAAACAGGGTCTCACTCAATTTGTAAAGCCTAATTCAATATGTTTGTCCATACTATTCCTCATTGAAACATACAAACGTCTACACGTTAATTTCCTGATTTCACAACATATCGGACCTGAATTCCCAAATTATTTGGAAGTTTTTGACTTTGAAGTTAAGAATCCAAAATTACTAAGCAGTTAAAGATAGAGCATATTTTATATTTTTGACACATAAAAAGATCATATATATTTCATACAAGTTCCAAGATAAGGCTTCCAGGAGAAGAAAGCAATTCACAGGAACTGGAAGCAACGAGGAAAATTAACTCCAAAATAGTTCAGACAATAATTCCTCCAATTTCCATTTCAATTTGATAGTTAAATAGCATACACTTGCACTATTGTTATTTGAAGCCAAAAGTTTCCACCCAACCATCAAGCGCCACTAGCATATAATCTGGTCCATTCCTTGGCTGCAAATTTCAATACCACCATTTTCATATTTGGTTCCATCATTAACAAATAACTAATTTTGATGTGATCATACAAGCAGAAAAAACATACCTGTTTCAACAGCCTCGGCCTCATTACTTTTCCAATGCTTGGCAATGTTCTCAGAAAGTGGATCATCTGGGTTTGGTGCACTTAAAAGAGCTTGAATACTAGAAGACCCAAAAAAAATAAAAAATTCAACCATTAGTGCACAATATTCTTTTAAATTCAGAGCGGGTTAATTTAATATTTTACACCGACTTGCTACACAACATTGTGGCCATCCCAGGAGGCAAGTACTCTAGCAATCAAAACTAAGATCCAGAGAAAGCAACATATACAAATTGAGTCAGTGACCCCATCTTCTCCATCCCCCTTCTCTCTCTCTCTTTTATTTTTTGGGGCTTTTATGTATTAAACCAGGAAATTGATGGTTTAAAAAAGAAATATGTACCTATTAACTAGTAGCTTTAACCATCTGTTTTCCAAACAAAATTTATAATTCTTCCATTCAAGCAAAGTGATTACATACATAAGAATTTAATTTTAAAAAGTCTTATTTTCAGACTTGCAAATCCGCATACATACATTACATTTTTCAGATCGTCACATAATGGTCAAGACTGTAATGCCAAATAATATTTACTACATTTCTTCGGGAAATGAATGTGTCTAAGTCTAACGATATGTACAACTACTAGAGTTAAGATGAAAAAAAAAAAAAAATACCTCAAAAGTACAGTTCGAATCTGAAGTGCAGGACTCCACTTATCTTTCAGAATATCAAGACATATCCTGCCAAGCTGCATCAAACTTCAACTTGTAAGATAAATTATAACCAAAGAAGAAATGAAAATGTAAGGGAAGCAGAGAGAACCTTATCAATGTTTGGATGATAAATTTTTGTCAGAAACCTGACCTGGAAGAAGCAAAGCATGATTGAATTAGGAATGATTGGAGAATTTTTTTTAAAATTTGCATATATAAATCCATCCATAATGTGTTATTATCATTAAGTTAAACCCTAATAGCCAGTAAAATAAGAGGAAACTGCATAATTACAGAATTCTGAGACGGACTAGATTTAATGAAAGGGAATAATGTTTCTCATGTTGTAGGAAATAAATTTTATCTCCTATACACATATAAAAGTGTGTAGGACCCATGTTTTCTTTTTCTCTCTCTTCTCCTCACATGGCTCCCCACAGATAAAATCATCTCCAAGAACATGAGAAACATTAATCTCTTAAATTAAATAATACTTAAAAAAAATGCCCACTAGATCCCCACAAAGCTTAAAAATACGATATCCAACTACAAAGCTTAAAACTATATACAGGTAAAAATACTTTAAGATTTATATCGTCATTTTTTTCAATGGACAAGAACTAGGCAGAAACATAACAGTTAACAGCAAAAGAATACAACAAAGCAGACGGAATTTTTTTTTATTAAATTTAGTACCTTGGGAGCAGCCATTGGATATTCTTCTGGCAAAAATAGTTCTAACTTGAAAACCCCCCCTAGTAATACAAACAAGAAACTTGCATATTAGTTAGACATTTTTTTAAGAGAGGGGGTGGGGATTGTATATCATTATCATCAATGTAGCCCTTATTCAGTGATTTTTTCTTTATATATTTTGGCACGGAACAAGGCCTCAAAACTTCAACATAATGTAAAACAAGCACAATAATGCAACCATTGAACAGACACAATAAAGTGATCGTGCCTTTTAAGCCTACAGATTATAATGCTTGCAACAAGAAAACCACTGACAAATAATAATAAACAGATCCAGGCAGAGAAAGCAAATTCCTAATTCTGTCTGCTATCATTCTATTATGTTTTAACATCAAATAAATTCAAAAGCAAGGCAAAAGAAAAATCTATACGGAACAAAAATACCATGAATATTAAAGTAATTAATTATTCAGACAGATAGGAGCCAAATCCTAAATTCTAATCTTATATACCGATAGGAGTTCCAAGTCTTACTCACTGACACAAGACCATGTTTGTCAAACTCGAGATTCTATGCAAACTCGGAAGGGTGAACCAAAATCGTAAATCGCAGAATCGTAACACGGATCGTAGACTCGTAACACAAGATACAAATTATATTTATATATATTTATATGCATATAAAGTAAAATAATAAGCAAATTTAATTCAACCAACCAGCAAAATAATGTCATACAATAGTCATAATCACATAAAGTCTCAGACACGTAAAGTCATAGCACACAACATTCTTACTTCCAAGAGCATTCTTATGAATTTTTTTAGAGTTGTTGTTCCTCCACTTCCACATGCAGTAGTACTATTAACACCACTTGAAGACATTTTCTAAAAATATACAACATTCAAATTCACAACAAATAATAAAAATTAACAATAATTTAATTGGACCAGCAGCAAACAAAAATTAAGAGAACAAAAAAAAGTAATTTGATTTATCAAATAAATTTTTATTTGGATTAATTTAATTTTTTCTTATGAATGTAAAAGAAATGACTATTAATTTAATTAAGAGAAAAAAAAATAATTTGATTTATCAAATAAATTTTTATTTGGATTAATTTAATTTTTTCTTATGAATGTAAAATAAATAACTATTAATTTAATTAAGAGAACAACAAAAGTAATTTAATTTGCTTTATTAAATAATTAAATAATTTAATTTGCTTTATTAAATAATTTTTTTTGTAAAACCGATCAGACTAACAGAGGCTCGATAAATGATTTTTTAAAATAAAAATGATTTTTTTTAACTAATATCATATAAAAGACACAGACTCACAGATGCTAAATGATAAACATAAACCAAACGAAAAAGATTAACCAAACGAAACAGCAAGCACCAAGGTCTTCGCGAGAAGAAGAAGAAGAAGCACTAACCTTTGGCAGCGAAGCACGACGGCAAAGAAGAAGCAGAAGCAAACGCAGATGGTGGAAGACGACCTAGTAGCACGGAGGGACGATCGGAAAAGGGCAAGACGACCCAGTAGCACGGAGGGACGATCGGAGGGACGACCCAGTCTTCGCGAGTCACCTAGTGGCTGAAGTGAAACTAATCAGGAGATTTAGGGTTTTTTTTCTTCTAAAAAAACCCAATCATATGATGGTTTTTTGGGTCAAAAATCGGGTTAATGGGTCAAATGTTTTTCTGGTTTAAGCATTAAACTCGTACGATTGAACAAGATTGAGGGCCAAAAGCGAGTTTGAGTAGAAACGGAATCGTTGAGGGGTTGTTGAAGCGTAAAATCGTGCGTTTTTGCGAGTAAACTCGCGAGTTTGACAACCATGCACAAGACACATCCTGCATCATATGCCGACTGCAGGGTGCACTGCTGCACCAACCACTTACGAAAAATGAAACAAGTGGTTCTCTCATATCAATGGTTTGTTCTACAGATGCTTGTATACTATAAAAATATAAATTGTTGATTATCTTCATTGATGATTTTCAATTCTGCATTTTATTCCATAAGGTGCACCTTCGGAGGGTCCCAATCCTATTCTTACTATATTAACTTCTTAGAAAGGATAAGTAGTGAAGCGAGTACAATCTTGTTTAATAGTGATAACCATGTCTTTCAAGCATGTCCAAAACCTGGCCCCTACTCAACAGTGGGGACCACTATGGTCTTCGAAATGGAGGAGCAAAAGTGGAAAAAAAGAAGATTAAAATGGATAAACTCACACTCGCAACAATCAGAGTGCAGTAGAACATATTCATTCAAACCAATCTTTCAAACTCCTTATCTCTTTTCTTTCAAGTCAATTGTTACAATATTTAACCTCCAAAAGGCAACCACTTCGTGCAGAAAAACACTTTAGATAGAGAGGTTACAAAGACATAATAAGCTCATCAAATAATCAAATTGAAACTGATTAACTGAATTCATAACATATGAAGCTAGGAAGCACGGGTACAAACAAGGGACACAAATACAACACATAGATACAAAAAATTCTAAAAATTCTAAAAATGATGCAGATAAGATACAACATACAAAATTAATATAATATGAACATAACAATACAAACCCTAATGTAGAACAAAGACATCAATATTTCATATGTCAGCATTAGTCATTATAGAAACAATAAAATACTAGTTAATTTATTGGGTTTAAAGTTTCTCATGTTATAGGAGATAATTTTATCTCCTATGCACACATAAAAGTGTATGGGACCCATGTGAGGAGAACAGAGAGAAAGAGAAAGAGAAAAACTAGAACCCACACACTTTAATGTATGTGCGAAAAATAATTCTATCTCCTATAATATGAGAAACTTTAAACCCTAATTTATATAATGATTGTGGTATCCCACTTGTATTGGTACATATATTCAAAAATAATAATAATAACAATAATAACAATTGAAAGATGTAGCCAGAAGTATCCACAAGTGTCTAAGATTCTAAGTTTCTGACACGATTAGTGTTCAACCCTGATACAGCAACCATTTTTAAGTGTTGGTGGTTCCTAAATCAAAACCACCACTTATAAACATGAATGACATTGAATTTCGTTTGGACATAAAAAATTGTTTTAGCAAAAAAGGTTACTTTTTTATTTATTTTAAATTTCTAACAGAGAGAGAACCTACGCAGGCAGCTAGTTATGAGCCATAAAGCAGTTTCTTGATACACAAGGATGGCAACCTACAGTAAATGATTATATATATGGTGAAAAATATAATGTTGTTAGTCCAAAAAATTCCCAGGCCAGTTATACATAAAAGAAAACAGTGTGCACCAAGATAATGCACTTCATAGAAAATAGTCCAAGACAGGTGTCGAAAGCGGCTTAAACACATAGTAACAAGAAAACAGCTTTGAGAATAAGATATTCTACAGTCATTAGTCAATATCAGTCTATAACAGTATGACCTAAGATTCCAATTTCCACCTCAAACAGCAGGCCCTAAATTAGTATTCATTCAGAACCATTGACAAAACACATTTCATTGTGATTGTAGATCATAATTGTATAGAAAATGTCAATGCACTACTTAAAACTTAAAAGCACCCAAATCAAACCAAAATTACTTCCTTATTTCTGGCAGAGACAAGAAATCATCATGCATTTTAAGGTGCAAAACAATGCTGTAGGACTCATTACTACCTTCATAAGGTGACTGGGTCGGGCCAAGGATCATCACATTGAAATATCGCATATTGTCTTCAGAAGGGGAAGCACTAATTCCAGGCGCTGCACACCAGATCATAATATAAGCTATCAACTCCGCGGAACAAAAACAAGAACGATGTAACCCTTGCATAAATCGCAAAGGTGAGCATTCAAGGTAATATATAACAAAATACTATTTTTATTTTTTTTTAAGAAAAAAAGAAGAGACACAAGCAAACACTACCCTTTTAATGCAGGACGAGCTTCTAAAGCATTAAACGATGAAGGGAAACTTCAAATTACGTATGCAACGACGAAGAGGAGCTTAGAATAAGAATTTACCTGGCTCACTGAGCAAACGCTGCGTTTCCTGTTAAGATCAAAGAAAGAGGAGTGACCAAAACATTCACAAAGATCAAATTCAAACACAGAACGAAGAGAAACCCGAAACTACAATTCGATGCCAATGAAGATCAAGAAAAGAAAAGAAAAGAAAAGAAAAGGGGAGTTGAATCCCCGATTCAGCACCTAAGAAAAGGAACCGTTTTAAAATTGACCCTAAAAGGAACATGAAGTTTTTCGTTCAATCAGGCACTTCGGCCACGTGATACTCGAAAATTAACAAAGCAAGTTACCATGAACAGATTTCAAGTTCCATTTTCAACCAAACAAATCGATCAGAGAAATTGAAATGGGGATCTCAACAACAAAATGGAAACGAACCTTGATGATTCTTCGAGGAAGGTTACTGTTGGCCATTATCGGTGTCGATTGCAAAGCACGCAATATAGGGTTTTGTGTCAGAGATAGAGAGAGAGAACTTTCTCTCACTAAAACGAGAACAAAGCTGAACGAAAACGAAAACAACACTTACTCTGGCTTATTATTTATATAATTTTTTACTCTTAAAACGAAAACCGGCACAAATTGATTGATTTATTTAGGGAAAGTATTGGAACAGTATTTTGAATGATTTTTTTGAGATTTTAAAAGATTATTTAGAATCGGACGGTTTTAAAGATTTTTTAAAAGAGATTTTTAATCATCAAGATTTCATAAGATTGGATTTTAAAGGATATTAATAAAATTTATAAGATTTGAAAGGAAAATATGAATTTATAAGATTTTAAAAAATCATATGAATTTTTAACAAACATTCAAAATTACAAGATTCAATAAAACAATACCAAAGAAATGCAATGATATTAATAAAATAAAATAAAATCTAATATAATTTTCTCAATTAGTAAAACATAATATAAATTTTAACAAAACATTTAAAATTACTAAGCAAGAGTTCTTCACATATCTAAAGTTATACTAGTCCTCCAAGCATTAGCATTTTCTCATTTTTGCTCTTGGGTTTGACCAATGAGTTGAAAATTATCTTCTTCATTTGGTATCAGAACTATGCATATATGATCATAAGACCCAATTTTTATTTAATTATTAAGATAATTCTAAATTTGCATATAGAACCTGAAGTTTATAATAAAATTTCGTTTGAAATTTTTTGCAATTGATCTTGGAAACTTGGAGCTTTTGTTCTACGTGATGAGAGTTTTCTAACCATATATCATCTAAATATTTTCGTTGAGTATTCTAAGAAAATTTCGAATATGAATTTCTGAGTTTTATTATATGAAAGTTTAAAAAATTTCTTTGTTATTTTCAATCGATACATTAAAAAGAAAAGTGTTTGTCCTTTTAAATGATATAACTTGTGTCATTTCACTCTCATGAAGAAATGAGATCCACACCTTTATTTTTTTTGTCCAGTATCTCTCCCCATGATCTATCACTTACTCTCACTAAAAATGACACAACTTTACATCCTTTAAAATGACACATATTTTTCCCTACATTAAAATCTTAAATTGCTTTGGGGCTTTTAAAAAATAAGTTTTTAGTTATCTATTGACACAAAAATTGTTTGAAATCGTTTCCTATAGCGAAGAAATTTCGTTCATGAATATATTGTTACGAAATATAGCGTTTATATTATGAAAGTTTCAATCTTTCTTTAAATTGATCTTGTTTTATTGATGTAAAATGTAAATTGGTTTGAGAGTTTTAGTTCCCCTGTTGTTTTTCCACTGTTTTATGTTATTTTTAATACAAATATCAAATATTTTGTGGCAAGAAAAATCGCGACCAATAGCTTAAAAAATTATTTTTTAAACTTTCAAAAGTTCTAAAAAAATCTACTGTTTTTGAGATGCATTATATTAGAATCTTATTGGTTTGTTTTTTCTATGTTGTTTTGTGATGAAAATCGCTAGAAAATCTGTTGTTTTTGAACTTTGACAAAGCTCCCATGGAGGAACCCAGTTTCGAGCGGGTCAACCCGCCAAAGGAAGAAGAAAACACTGCAATAGAGAAATCTCAAGAAATCTTAGGAATTAGGGTGAGATTGTAGAGAGACTTCCTATTTATATTTCTCACTAAAAAGTATCATGAAATTCACACCAATAGAAAATTCATTAAAATCGTAAGATTTTTTAACACAAGATTGTTTTTCCTTCGTTTAAAATCTTGATTGAATACCAATAGATTTGGATGGACTCTAAAATAATCTTTTAAAATCCTAATCAAATACCACGTGACTTTTTTTCAATCCTTTATTAAAATCTTAATTGAATACCAATGATTTTTTTGTATAAAATTAATCCATTAAAATCCTTTGAAATTCCAATTCAATACACCTCCCTTATTTTTTTTTGGTCAGTGATTTTAATTTTTTTGAATTTGGTTGTAAAAATTTAACAAAGTTCAAACTCAATAAATAAAAATCTTGCCACAATTCTTCTTAACTATTGTACTTGTACATCTAATCATCAATTCTTAAATTTTGAGAAATTGAAAATTAACTTATATAATGTTATAAATAAATGTAAAATATTGAAAATGATGACTACTATAATAGTTGTTCAAAGAATATATTAGCACATGAAGAAGGCAAATATCTTGATTTGCATGAATTTTTCTATTTTCACAATTTTAATAAAAAAAAATTACCATAAAAAATTCTAGTTTAATATGGCTATTGATTAATGTGTGATAGTGATAGTCTATGATGCACGAACACGGACACGGGACACGACACGACACGTCGACACATTAATTCTAAAAAATGTCATATTTCGACACGTTGGGACACGTTTTGGTATTAAATAAAATTTTTAATATATATAATATAATTTATATTTAATACATATAAGAGTCCATAATAAGTCATATAACCAATCAAATATCTAAATTTCATAACATAAATATAAATAAATAAATAATTTTTCGTACTTTGTTAATTTTTCATGTCAAATTTCGTAAGAGAAAAAAATTAATTTACAAATTATTTCTTTTATATTTAGTTAACAAAATAAAATTAAGATTTTTTTTATAAAAAAAAAAACGTATCACAGCGTGTCCCAGAGTTGACTGTGTGTCGGAGAAAGTTGACTGTGTGTCGAAAAACGTGTCGGAGAGTTGACCACGTGTCCCCAAATGTTGACCGCGTGTCGGACGCGTGTCCGACGCGCAAATATTTTTAAAAAGTAACGTGTCCGTGCTTTGGAGGTGACAGTACTACCATATTTTTAAAAATTAATTACCACACATTCAAAAAAAATTTCCAAAGTGGCACGTGTCCAAACTCGATACAACACGTAACAAATTTGGTCTGGCCATGTGTCCCTGTAAATCATAGCGAGTTAGGTGGTCAAACTTGTTAGCTTGCTTTGAGAAAAAAAAAGGACACATGGCAATCAGCCACAAACTCGCTACGGGTCATGGTGAGAACAGTCGAAACGGTAAAATATATATATATATATATATATATATATATATATATATATATATTGGGCACATGTCATTCTCTGACATACTCGTTGTGGGGTATAGTGAATATAGTGCCAACAGTAAAAAAAAAAAAACTAGCCATTAAACTCGTTGTAGTGTATAGCTAGTATAGTGCCAAAGGTAAAAAAAAAAAAAAGAGTAGCCATCATACTCGTTGTGGGGTATAGTGAGTATAATGCCAACGACTACTTAAACCACAGGTATCCTTCACGGTAGGCAATCTTATTTGGGGCGGGTCCAGTATTAAGACTTTAACCCCTTCCCAAAGATGGTATTTGAAAGGATCAAACACATGCTCTTACTCCACCTGCTCAGCTCTCACGCGCCAACTGAGCTACCATAATCATTTGTATTTCAAGTTTTTTTAAAGGGAAAAAAGTATCTAATGTTACTTTAGATAACTTTATCTAATGTTCATCAAAACGACGTCGTTTTAGGGTTAAAAAATTTAAAAATTAGAATGATAAAGACTATTATAACTCTGAAATAAACTAAAATTACAAAAACATCATGATTTCCGCCCCAAAACGACGTCGTTTCGATGAACATTAGATAAAGTTATCTAAAGTAACTTTAGAAAACACAAACCCTTTTTTAAAACCATCTCTCACAAGGTTAGTTCTTTTAATTTATTTATTTATTTATACATCATTAATAGAGGTTAATATATGAACCCTAGAATAGATGACGTGTTAATTTTGTTATGTTAATTTGTATAGACATTAAACTCTAGGGTAGTTGGTATATTATTTTATATTTAAATTAAAATTATAAATATCATTTTAACAATTGTTTAATTATTTATGTTTTATATATTTTATTTTGATATTATTTAGTTTAGGACTTGAAACCTTAGGTTAGAGGATATATTATTTTTTTTTTGTTAATTTTTTTGTTTAATTATTCTCTTACAAGGTTAGTTATTTATATTTTTTATTTGCACATTACTAATAGAGGTTAGTATATGAAACCCTAAGATAAATGACATGTTTTAATTTTTTATATTAACTAGCTTATTACTCGTGCGTTGCACAGAGAAAAAAATAAATCGATTTATTTGTTTCGTAAAAGTTGACACAAATCGTAAAAGTATATCGTTGCTTTTTATTTAAATCAACACTATGAGGTACCTAACTCCAGCTATTTATACATGTAAAGTTGATAAATATTTGAAGTATTACATTTAATATTCTAACAAACACTTCATAGTTGAAGTTGAATGTGATAATATATAATATTTGAGGTAGTACATTTAATATTCTTACAAGCTTAATTACTTAAGTATAAATAATTATTCACAAAATTAACATATATATATAAGCATATATTTAATGCATCGTATTTAATCTGAATAATACTTCAACTCTATCAACAATAATTTGGTGAAGAATATGAAAAGTCAGCTACTTACTGGGTTGGAAACATCTAATCATAAATAACATTGAAATAATGATATACTGCAAAACATTGAATGATCATTCCTTTTAATTAAGTAATTAATAAGAATAAATAATTTTTTTAGTTCAAACGAAACTCTACTCCATGTATAAAGTGTTGTACCTGTGGGTTTAGTGATTACTTGACTATACATCAAACTTTGCAAAGGCATCTTGTTTGATCTTTTGATATAAAATGTCATTGTATTAGCTTATCCTGTAGTCATTCAAAAATTACGTAGTTTGACTCGGCTTATTTTAGTATTTCTCAGAGATAGCCACACAAAGATGGGTTTGTTAGACAGTAAATATAAGGGGGAAAACGTGTTAGCGGGCTAATTCGCCCATTTAGAGGGTGGGGTAGGCCGATGTAACACCCCGTTGTACAACAGTTTGTTAACATTACGTATGACATTAAGCGTAGTTATAATCACAGTAATTGAATTAAAATAAGGAAAAAAATTTTCCTTTTCATTAATAAATTTTTTTGTTTAAAATTAATTTCATAATTAAAAAAAATTTCAAAAACTGTAATTATAACTTAAAACACGCGTAACACTTAATTTTTATTTAATT